GAGAGGACAAATCAGATTTTAGAGGATATGTTACGGGCATGTGCTCTTGATTTTCAAGGAGGATGGGCTAAATACCTTAGTTTGGCGGAATTTGCTTATAATAATAGTTATCAAGCAACCATCGGCATGGATCCATATGAGGCGTTGTATGGGAGAAGGTGTAGATCTCCCATATCATGGTATGAAATGGGAGAAAAGAAGATTCTAGAAGAGGAGTTACAAGGAAGGACTGAGTTGATTGATGAGACCTCAGAAGCTATTAAGACTATCCGACAAAGGATAGAATCTGCCCAGTGTAGACAGAAAAGTTATGCAGATGTTCGGAGGAGACCTCTAGAATTCGAAGTGGGTGATTTTGTTTTTGTCAAGATAGCCCCGATGAAGGGCGTGATGCGGTTTGGGAAGAAAGGGAAGCTTAGCCCCAGATTCACCGGACCGTATGAGATCACCCGACGAGTTGGGGAGATAGCATATGAGCTCGCGCTACCTGAAGAGTTTTCTGGCATTCATAATGTCTTCCATGTTTCGATGTTGAGAAAATACTTTGCTGATCCGGAGCTTGTTTTGATACCCCCAACAGTAGAAGTGCAAAAAGATTTGTCATACGAGGAGAAGCCGGTACAAATTCTTGACCGTGAGGTTAGACGTCTCCGGAATAAAGAGATAGTTCTAGTAAAAGTGTTGTGGCAAAATCACAGAGTAGAAGAGGCTACTTGGGAAGCTGAGGATGACATGAGGCATCGTTATCCCGACTTGTTCTAAGTTTCGAGGACGAAACTTTTATAAGGTGGGAGGGGTTGTAACACCCCATTTTTTATGAGCTAGATATATTAATCAATATTATTTATTTTAGTATGTTAAATAAGTTTCTTCTATGACTAATGTGATTTATTATTTGAGCACGTGTTGTTCTGGCAGGTAACGTTGACCGGTAAGCTCTAATAATTTTAAGTAAATGAATAAGAAATGTTTTAAAGCTTAATGAGTTTATTTTGAAATAGAGAATATTTTAATGAGGAAAATTTTAAAGGATACTGGGAGCCCAAATCAATCTTAGCCCAAGTGAGTCTCTTTTAAACTAAGTCCCTAGAGAAAGTCACGCCATTTGCTTAGATAAGCGCCGCTGAAGCTCTCAAAACCTTTACACCGAATTACTCCTTTCAAACGCCGGAATTCATCTCGTTTATCAAATTGGTCTCTGGTATCATCGGATCTTGTCTGGTAAGTTTAATTTGCAGTCTTCTATGCTTTTGCAAAGGCTTTTACTCTCATAATTTTAAATTTAAGATCGAAACAGGAGGCTGTTTTGGCCGGACAAATTTCACTGCTTAGGTCTGTTATATATATATATATATACATACATATATTTGGATTATGTTTCTTGAGTTTTAAATCAGGCTGGGTTCTTGTTGTCCGTTTGGAATTCTGAAAAGTGATTCATATGAAACATAGGCTTGTGTTGTTTTAAATAAGTATTTGTAAACTGCAGGGGGCTAGCTTCTTTGGTTTTAATTTTAGGACCTTATTTGATTGGACTAATTAGTTGTTGAATGGAGATTGCAAGATAGAAGAATTTCATTTTTCTCATGTCTCCAGAATGTATAACCACGATCTGGTGCAAAGCCAGATAATTCTTATTTTTTTTAACAACTAGCTTGAGTAATAATAAAAGGCTACTGTATTAATCTTTTGGGTCGGCATTTTTTTAAACAGATATATAGATTTCAAATTCAGAGTTTTGATTCTTAGTACAATCGATATCAGCTTCGGTTATAGTATAATGAGATTTAGTCGTAATGTTGTATTTAATAGTTAATTAAAGATTTCAAAGAAGAGCTTACTGGAAGACGTTATCAAGGTGCCATCCATATCTAAGTGATTTGAGTTCAGCTTTGACAGGTAAGTTCACTACCACCTGTACATGTTTGTTCAACCAAATGAAAGAAAAAAGTCTGGTTGATTTTTAGTAGATGATTTTAGACTATTCACTATGATGCGAGCTTGGTGAATTATTTGTTGAGTTATTGTAATTGTTGTATTAAGTTATGTTTATTATCTGGCATAGTCAAGATTATGTCAGTACTTTATTTCAAGATTTTAATGATGTTTTTTTTTACCCAAACGTCACTATAAAAAAACTAATATTTAAAGTGAAAGATCAGGTGATATGTACTCGGGAACAAGTTCCCTCAGATTATCAGTTTATCAGTTTCAGAGAGTCCGATATGTTTAGTGGGTCGCTCCCCTGAGCTGTCGGATTGGCGCCTTTGAGTACATATCACGGGCCCACGGTTAAAATTAGCCACAAAGAGTTTTACAGAAAGTTGTTTTGAGATCTCTTTCAGAAATTTTACAGAAATGTTTTGAGAAAGAAATTTTGGGATCTCTCCAGTAGTTTTGAGAAATTATTTTAGAAAATATTTTCTTTTGGAATCTCTCAGAAGTTATTCTAAAAGCTATTTGTTAGTTGTTTGTTTAGTGCATGCTTATAGTCTAAATTTATCTATTGATAAATTAGCATAGACTTCTCAGATATTTTGTGGGTCCATAGTGACTTACTAAGCGTAAAGCTTATCAGTTTTCTTTCTTCGCATGTACAGATACTAAGGGTAAGGCCAAGGCCTAGGAAGATGATGAGGGAGTGGAACGCGTGCCAAGATGAGTTAACGGGAACGACCTTGGCGGCTTCTAGCTAGTTTTATTTTACTCCAGTATTTCAGTGAGAATAAAAAGATTATTATTACTTTATATAATTGAGGTTTTGAAGTTTTAGTAAATTCCTGGATCCAGGTGGTTATCACATTTGCTGGTGATAACTAGATTTTTTTGAGTTTTTATTTGGGGCTATAATTTTGTTATATTTGAGATTTTTATCAGGGTTATTTCTTAAACAAACGGCCGTTATATTGCAATTTTTTTTATATATAGTAGTAATTTATGTGACGTCTCCTTTAACCCTGAGAGGGGCGTTACACGAAGACCGGGATGTGGTAGCCAATTTGCAAATGGTGCGAGAAAAAATGTAGCATGAGGGTTTCAGGCGGATTCGGGATGGCAATCAAGCATATGAAGTCATGTGACAAAGCCAAAGAATCGGGAGGTGCGGGAAGTTCCGATTGATTACAATTTTCAAAATGTTTATCTCTTAAAGTTTGTTTTAATTTTCAAATGTAGTTCCTATTTCATTTCAAATAAATGCAATTGAAGTTTGTTTTTAATACTCGTATAAAACTATTAACTATAAAATATAAATTATAAAAAAAAATTAACCGGCCCGGCCCGAACCGGGCCCGACCCGTGACCCGGTCGGGTGGCCCGGCCCGGACCAGACCCGTCCAACCCTCGGGCCGGTCCCGGGCCCATGTCATACTACCCGGCGGCCCGACCCGGCCCGAGTCCATCAATACTCTTACCCTTCAAAATACTTTATTTAACTTAACACCCATTGGCAAGGGTTGTTGGACGATGGACATGACAATTCATGAATTCAGATAAGCAAGTCGTGTGACTATCTTTCTATATACTACTCCGTACTACGTAGTATCTTTTTTTTTTTACCTTTTCTTACCTTTTTTACTATTATCTTTTAACTCAGATTTGATTCACATTAGCTAGACCTGTACAAAAATGGGTTCAGGCCGGACTCCGGCCGAGCTTTTTATAAATTTTCTGTCCATCATGTGTGGGTGGGCCCGGCCCAGCCTGCAAAAACGGGCCTAATACTATATCCATACCCGCCCATAAGAGCAGGCCGGGTAGTCCACCGGCCACCCGGTCCGGGAAAATTTTAATTTTTTTAAAATTATATGATTTTTTAAATACTTAAAAAATAATATTACAACATTTAAAAAATAATTAATACGCTTATAATGTTTATACGTCTTTCACCACTTACAAAAAAAAATACTTACGCAAAAATAATTATAAGAAACTATATCTAAAATTTAAAATTCAAGCACAAAGTATTATCTTTAAATACAAAAATAGATATTATATTGGTTGGGCTAGTTGTTAAGAACTAAAAATTAAATTTAAACATAATAAACTATAAATATGTATACAGAAAAATTAGTAAATATAAATATGCATGTGTGTATGCAAATAAATAAATAAATTAGTATATATATATATAGGGAAGAGTTCAAATGAAAAGTGGTCTTCCCGTGCAAAGTGAAAAGTTTTCACTTTTTCACGTTTCGCTTGCACTTTTTGTTGTTTGCGTTGCAATTTTTGTCCATTTTGATTTTGGCCAAATTCGGCCAAAATGACGGTGGCAGTTTTGTAAATAAACCAATTTTTTTGAGCTACCGCGAAAAAGTGCAACGAAAGCAAGAAAAAGTGCAAGCAAAAAATGAAAAAGTGCAAACTTTGCACTTTGCACGTTAAGACTTCTTTTTATTTGAACCATCCCCTATATATATATATATATATATATATATATATATATATATATATATATATATATATATATATACACACACACACACACACAGACACACACTAAATGTAGCGACCAAGCTTATCGGCCCGAACGGGTCTACAACCTAACCCAAGCCCGTCCATATCTTATTGCGGGCCGGGCTCGGACTGGCCCAGTGGGTAAATATATATGCCGAAGCCCGCCCATTTGTGCGGGCGGGCTGGGCGGGCCGGCCCGATTTTGTCCAGGTCTAACATTAGCCAACCCCAAACTCATTCAAGACAAGACTAGGGTGCTTTTTATTTAATTATCTAATTTTTATTTATTGAATTTGAATCTGTCTCTTAAAATTTTCTTCCCTTTCAATTATACTTCTCATAAAGTGTGAAACCGTCATTACCCCAGTGCCGCAAAAGCTCCCACATACAGTGGGATAAGGAGGGTCGGATGTACGCAATCTTACCCCTGTATTAAAGCACAGAGACTGTTTCCGGATGACCATAGAGAAAATCGCGTCAAAAATTGCATGGACTAAATGTTGCTTCATAACAAAGAAGCGCAAACAGTTTAGTGAACTCATTTGCTTTATTCCATCATATTCTCAAGCCAAAAAATAAGGAGTTTTTAGGCTTTATTCCATTGCGAAAAAACGCAATAGTGAGTCTGCAAAACATGTATTCATTTCAACAAACGATCATGGTACGGTATATCTATAACAAAGGTAATAACCACTAGAGTTTATATCATTTATCCATTCTAGAAGACAGAACTCGAAAAGGTATTTTGCACCGAACACTTTTATACAAAGATACATTTTTATATCAAACTCACTACTCAGGTGGGCTGGTGATATAGACAGAGAGCAGCATGATTACTGTTAAGTCTGGTTTCATCAATAGCATTCTACAAACCCCAGAAGAGATTAGATTCCCCAACTCTTGTCACACCATTTACCTAGTCAGGTAGTACACCACCAGAAACAGAACCACAAATGATGCCACAAGGGTGAACATTCTTTGGTTTGATTTGGTCTCAAACACCTTAATCATCAAAGGAAAAAAATCAGAGCATGTACACGTCAAGCCGAGGGAAAAAAAGAAGGGAGTGTGAGTGAAACACACCATCTTAAATTTGTCCATAGTTCCAGCTAACACTCCCCTTGACGAATCCATGTCATTGCCCTGACCATGACAGAAAATAAAAACAATTATGAAACATGATATGCTTTGATGTAGTACCATTTTTTGTCCAAAGAAAAGAACTATTAGGTCATTTTCACTTTTGGTCCTCAACATTCAATTTTCTAACTTTTGGGGTACATATATGGATTAAATGGAAACCAGGGGCCACAAGTGATACTGACATAATTGTCGTGGGACCAAAATGAAATATCTTCTAGGCTATATGGTTAAGGTATGATGTGATACCATTCTGTCCAGCACGCGGTTGTGGGTCTCTACCTCCTCATGTATGTCACCTGACAGCTGTAATAGCAACTTATTCAGTCGTACTCTATGCTTTAATATTAGAAAACATTAGAAAACATAATATAGACCATGAAAAAATGGTTGAGAAAATTCAACTGTGCGAAGGAAACTGTTTGTTTAAGGAATCGAGAATAAACACAGATTAATGCCCGGGATTCCACGAAAAAGTTGCATTTTCAGAGCAAGGCAGGCCTTCCAATCCTCCTGCAATCAAAACACGCCTTTCCTACACTCTTACAGTCCTCCATTTGAATCAATCCCTACCAAATGTTCGATTTCCACACACAAATGATTGTCCTATTCATAATTTCACATGCAACCCTTTCTGCTAGGATGTTGCTACTCACATCAGTTCAAAGTATACTCAACTTAGACACTTTGTGAGAAAGCAAAACATTCATATCTTTGAAAACTATGGATACAGAGAAAACTTACTCTTTTAAGCAGAATGACTCTATCTTGCAGTCCATCTAGTGCTTTTTCATTTTCATGCTCATCAATCTCATGAGAAGAATATGATGATGAAGCTCTGATTCCACCTTCCTCAATACCATCAAACAGAGCAGCTCTAGCACCACGGTCCCTGATGGCCACAAATCATTTAGAAGATAGGAATGGATGATAAAATTTAGTGATGCATAGATTTGAACAGAAAATAAGAACAGAAGAATGAGATTGAAAAAAGTTTATATAACTATAATGCAAATGCAAAAACCAAATAAATTAGGATGACGAGATTTTTTATGGTATGTCTGGCATCAAGTAGGAGGGCAATTTAATACACCGTACTAATGTACAACGATCATTTTTATCTACATAGGAAGAAAAACATAAAATTTCCTACTTTAATTTGCTCTTAATTCACATTGAAGCATATAAGAACTCTCTAGAAGTCCCCCTTGCAATAATCCAAACAATCCATTCCGAAATCACTTATTCACATTCAGTATTCAACAAGCACTATAAAACATCGATGCAAAATGAAGAACATCGTGATGTCAAAAGTTAGCAGTCTTACCTTCGCGAATTCATGGTCAAGTAGATACTAAGTGATTCTCAAACGATTGCAATGAGCAGACGAGAAACTCTGCGGCAGACTGAGAGACATAGTAATGTGAGCTAATCCGGAAAAATAAAATTCAGAAAAGCAATCGATTCAGAGCACAGAACAAAAACCAACAAAAGAACACAAAGATAAGCAGTAACACTATCTCTCGCGCACAAATCAGACTGAAATTTACATAATAGATACTGCTAGATCTGCGTAAAATAGAAATCTAAAGTTTGTAGAAGGAGAGCAGCGGCCGGCGTACCTTCGCCGGAGATCCAATCGATGCGACGGATAAGCGAGGTAGGAAGATTGACGTGAATGAATGCTGTAGCTACAGAGTATTAATAGCGGTGGAATGCCAGTTTTACTGAAATACGAAACCCCCGTTTAACGTAACGGCCTCGTTGGATTGCAATCAGCTCCCGGCTTTTCTTTGCTTTTGTGGGCCGGGTTCACATTTTCCGCCGTGGCGCCGTTAGTTAAGTGACGACCGTCGTGACTTGGTGTGATGACTTGTGCACATTCCGCACACTCCACGTATTTTTCTTCCTTCCTCTATTTTTTTTATCAAATTATCTATCTATTTATCTATTCTATTATTGTTGTGGTCGTTGTTGTTATTATTATTATATATGGAGTATAAAAAAACATATAACTCTTTAAAGACAATTTTACCCTTAACAAATCCTATGCGTCTATCTTTCATCATTTCACTCATTTTCTATAAAATGTCATGTGGCCAGTTTTTTACTTCAACTACCGAAACACCAAAGAAAGGGAGAATGGGATATGTAATTGGTGGGGCTCAAATTGAAAAAAAAAATTAAAATTTTATGTAAAGTGTTATAACTTTTTCATTTTTGCTCCAATTTTTTTAAAAAAATATATATCAAAATTCGCAATTTAAATTTTTCATATAAGACCAATATTGAATCTATAAAAATATAATTTATATTTTTAATAATAAAATATAAAAATGTTTACAAAAAATATGTTTAAATAAGAACGAGCAGACTATTAAATATATTGTTTTAACCCAACTATTATGCAACGTGTCTACCTACAGGTGTTAGTGAGCATTGCTCTACTTATGTCATGTGGCTTCATTATTTGCATTTTTAATTTGTTATTTACTTTACAAAAAACGAATTATGGAGATGGAAAATATAAAAATTTGGCCTGCTAATATACACTATCTATCTCAACAAAACTTCAGCCTTTAATATAGTCTTACTTTTAATAAAAGTATAATGTTATATTCCGATTATTAAAGTACTGTAAACCTTATTTCTTCCTTTTATAATGTCACTCGAGATTCGAGCAAATGAAAACGATAACCGCATTGGGTGCAAAATTGCTAATAAATAAAACTTCTAAATTTAATTCAATTTAATAGTACGATATTCTTTCTTTTTAAGAGAAGGGGAAATATGAAAATATTGATTAAACATTTTTGGTTTGTTTTAAACTGATCTTATCTAATTATGTTTAGCTTGATTGAAGTAATTTTTTGTCTGAATTGGTTGAAGTTATTGTAGTTGATCATTTTTGGCTACTTTTCATATAATTTTTTTCTTTATTTCATTAATAAAAAATATTTTAAATTAAATTTATCCATAAATCAATAGATTTAACTAATTCAACCACTTCTCTAAGAAGTGGTTGAGTTATTTTTCTGACTAAATCGGCTGAAGTTACTGTACAAATCATTTTAAATTACTTTTCATATAATTTTTTATTTACTTCATTCATAAAATATTTTTTAAATTAAACTTATCCATGATGGTTCTTCGACAGGAGTTTGAAAAAATAGGGGTTTCTGGTCCATTATCGTTGGGGCTGCTGGATCAACGACATATCTTGATCAAATTCGGAACTGAAGAAGATTTCAGGCCAGATGTGGAATCTCCCATTGTTCCGGTATGGATCATGTTTGATGGCTTACCATTGCATTTACATGAAAAGAGGGCACTTTTTTCTATAGCAGGTATGATCGAAAAGCCTCTTAAAGTAGATGTGGCTACAGCGAACTTATCAAGGCTGTCTACTGCCAAAGTATGTGTGGAATTAGATTTACTTCAAGAAATCCCAAGTAGAGTGCTAATAATGAATGGAAAGAAGAAGTTGATCCAACCCGTTACGTATGAAGATTTGCCTAAATATTGTGCAAAGTGTAACAAGTTGGGTCATAGCAAAGAGGAGTGTGGTATTCCAAAGGTGCGGCTAGTTAAGGAGATAAATCATAACATGAACAAAGAACAGTTAGTCATTAAAGATATGGGAGTGGCTAATACTAAACAGCCAGCCAGGTGGATTCAAGTTACTAAAAAGAACAAAGGGAAAGAAGTTGTGGAGCCTCCCATTGAATCAATAGAGGTGGCAGTTGGTGAACAAGGAGAATCTTCTAAAAAGAATGATACGAGTATTGATATCACAGAAGTGGTGCCTCAAGCTGACGCCGATGGTCCAAATGATACTGATGGTTCTAAAGAGGTTGATCATGGGGTGGTAGATCATGGAGGGAAGGTACAAGAATTGGATGTGGTGGAAAACATAGTTCTGGAAGAAGTAAGCCAAATCAAAGACAGGGATGCAATGGGTGAAGGCATCAATTTGAAAGTTGGGACACAATTGCAGGAAGCTACTGATGTCACTAAGCATCAGGAAGGGAGTTCAATCGAGGCTCGGCTTCAGGAAGATTTTAGTAAGGGGGCTATCTCTTTCGAGGAGGGTAGTAAGGATATGGAAGATGAAGGAGATATGTTGGTAGAAGATGGCATTATTTCTGATGGTGAGGATGCTTTGGTCAAAAATATTGCCAAAGATTCTTGGAAGCGGGTTTGTAGAGAACTGCAAAGAAAGGTAGCATTGATAGAACAGGAACAGGCTGAAGCATTGAGTGCTATATCGAGAAGAAAAGTCAAAGAAATTCCACCTCGAGCGGTCACGACAAGGTTGGCGGCTAAGAGGAATTCAAAGGAGACTCCCTTTGATGTTTCCTCATGAAGCTTCTTACTTGGAATGTGTGTGGTCTTGCTTCTTCGTGCCCAAGATTGTGTGAATAATCTAGGCACAATTCTATTGATTTTATTACCATTATTGCGCCTATGGTTCATCAGAATAAGGGGGATTACTTTTTGCATAAATTGGGATTTTCAAAGTTTTTTATGGCCGCTTCTAACAAAATTTGGTTAATGTGGAATACTCATTCCTTTGATGTGCTTTCGATCCAAGAGATTGATCAATTTTTTGTGGTTAAGGTTACCTTCTTGCCTAGGGATTTTAATTTCATTTTCTCGCCTGTCTATGGATTGCATACTAGAGGTGACAAGGCTCGGTTGTGGGATGGTATGGTTAATGTTGTGCAGCAGGATGATTCAGATTGGGTTGTGGGGGGTGATTTTAACACGGTGGCAACTTTGGCTGAATGTAAGGGTCCTGCTGGCCCGATGCTAAACGAGATGTTGGATTTTAGTCAATGCATTGATAATTGTGCTCTCATTCAACCCTCTAACAATCATACAACCATAGCAGTGATAAAAGAAGCAGATAGAAAGAAATCGACAAGATTGAAACGCAAATCTGGTATACCGTATAAAACTGTCCGCTGCTCTCCCTAGAGAAGGAGAGCAGCGGCAACCCTAATATCTCTCTATCTCGTCTCTGCGCCTCTAAGCCTCTTTCGATTGTTTTGGGTTCCCGTAAATTAGCCTCCTTTTATAGGAGAAGTTGGCTAACTTACGGGTTACAAGGAAGCCCACGGGCTGATACACATTTGTGGCCCGTATTACAAGTTTAATTAATAACTACACAAATACAAAGATAACTAACTAGATTGAACACCATAAAATATTCCCAACAATCTCCCCCTTGGTGATCAATCGTGTTGAATCAGCATTGCAGCGCAGATATCTTTGTCTTTGTTGTTATTGAGCTTCCTTTGTCTTTGAACTTGACTTCTGAGGAAGGCTATCTGAAGAAATCCTTGCAATCTCCCCTTTGATGTCTTCTTGAAAATTTGATCTTTGATGCCGGGGGTTGAGGGACCTTCTGTATCTTGCATGTAGTCCTTGCCTTCCAGAAGTTGCTCTTGATCAGCTTGGATGAAGTCCGGTGACGCCTCTAGAATGAATATTCTTTGGAGAATAGGAGACGCCCATGGAATTCATCTTCAGGACACGAGTATTTGACCTCTGTCTCCTCCACAATGTAGTCTTTTTGACTATTTGGAATGAATGCATTTGAGGAGAACTTGTCGGTGGCACAGCGGAACATAATGATTGTTGATTTGTGAGTGTAGCTGACCATTTGATTTGAGTTGTAGAGATAGCAGAGAAGGTATTGATTTTTGTGATGGAGGAGTGAAGTGTCCCAGAATGATTTGTTCATTGTTAACAGCATGTGGACCACTCTCCCCCTCATGACGATCCGATGAATCGGGACGTCATGCTTTTATTATTTTATTCTGCGGAAATAAAAACAGGAAAAAACAAGCAGAATCTAAAGAAGATAACGTAGCCCCCCGGGGTCGTGAAGACGCCCGTTATCATCACTATAGAGATAAACTCTTTAGCAATGGCCTGAAAATGTTGGTGATTTTATGTTGCAACAGCAGGACTTCCTTCCAATTATTGGTCTACATCTGTAATAGATGAGCCCTATGGAAGTTCTCGCGGGTCATGAAGACCTGCAACTGACTCTAAAAGTGCGTCTGTGTCCTAGAAAATTTCAAAACATTTGGGAGTGAGTAACTAGACACGACGTGATCAATGAAAGTTCAGTGACATGGGGATGAGGCCACTGTAGTCAGTATTACTTGCCTCGGAAGGAGACAGTAATGAGAGATGCGGTTCCCCGTGAACTATGATTAAACACATGTCTGTTGGGAGACAAGTGACTGGTCTAGGGTAGGGTTGTGCATGCGCCGTTTGGACAAAATGCAGCGACTTCTACCCGGGATCTGAATAAATTCAGTCCTGAACCTATGGGGATAGTCCAGAGTATTTTAGTGGCTACGAGCAAATGGTCAATTCATAGCAGGCAATTGAGGTAGCAGACTCATCATTGATAATTGTTTCCTTCTCACTCGAGCCTTCTGCTTCCTAATGCTCATCATGTTCACTCACTCACTCGCTCATTTACGCACTTACGCTCGGCTTTGTCCCTTGGGTAGGCTTAGTTGGGTTTACTAAGCCATAGGGACATGTTCTCTCATTACTTTCTTCATTTTCTCTCTGTACTCCCCCTCAACTGGAGTACTCGGTATGCCTTGTCATTGTTAGGCACCGGGAAGGATAACATTGAACACTCCCCCTAAAATGTTGCATCCTTTGAGAGATTCCTTGCTTTGTCGGTGTAAGGCGCCAGGAGGAGAAAACTGAAACTCCCCCTCAGAATGTGCAAGGTTTGATTGCTCACAGCTTGTCATACCCGCCATGTGTGTGGAGCAATCTGAACATGTACCACACATGACGGTTTCCTGAGCTCGCCATGTAGAATTTCAGCATATTGATGATCACATAATGTTGATGAGTCAGGGGAGGCTCCAGCAGTTGATTGTTGATTGTTGTAAGATGATC